AATTCTGATTCAGGTAAAAAAACCAGCGGTTTTTGGGTTTGGGGAACCACAGCAAGGAAATCCCATCAATGCTTAGGTGGGAGACACAAGCCAAGGGTCAGTTTTCACTCCATTACTGAGAAAAGGCCTGAAACATTTTCCTCACCTCAGATGCCAGAAGAGGAAGTGGCCGATCTTGCGGTTGGATAAGGCCCTGTCCAGCAGGAACTTGGTTAATTCACAGTCTAAGTAAGATTCGTACTTGAGCACCTGGACAAGCTGCAGCAGGTATTGGAACACGTCATGATCTCTGGTGACAGGGAAAGGGAAAGATGAAAGACAATCTCATCTCTGCTGCAGAGACAAGGCTGTCAGGCTTGTTCACAGTCCCCCTCAGCAGCCCTGGCCAGGAATAGAAAGGGGCTCTCTCTCTCCCCTGGGGATCACACTTACGTCAGCTTCTTCAATGAGTTGATAGCAAAGGAACCAACATAACGGTCGGGAAAGCTGAAATCCAGCAGCTCCAAGGCATTCAGGACAGGCAGCTCTGGCCAGGTCTGGAGCAGGGAAATCATCTGTAATGGCAATAAAAAAAGAAAAAAAGAAAAGAAAAGGGAACAAGGTTTTTATGACAATGGATATAAATCTGAAATTCTGCTGATGGAAGAGCAGTTCCTTGTGGCAGGTCACTATTTATAGATGCCTCACAGCAAGTTTGCAAATACCAGGTCAAACCCTGAGGTGCCTTGTGCTGGTCTCTCACTGTCAGTTAATATTTGATCCACATCCTATTTTTCCCATGAATTAAACAGATTTTTTTTTTTCCCCACCTTGCCTCCAGTTTCTTGAAGGAATATATAAGACCTTGTCGGTCACTAATAAATCTGGGACAGCCCAACAGAGCCAAACCTCAGGTGGGAACAGAACCCCTCCCTTTGGGGCGCTGTGAACCCTCCCCAGCCGAGCTGGGCTCCCAAGCACCACCCAGGAGTGCAGGCACTGAGAGATGGATCAAACAGGGAGTCCTGGCTGCCAGTCCCAACCTCCTCACCTGGGCAACGTCCTCGTGCTTGTTCCACTTGGTGATGATGAGCAGCTTCGCCAAGGCCTGTGGGTACTGGTCACGGATGTCGTACCTCATCTTCCACACCAGGTCCTTCTCGTGCTCGTACAGCTCCGTGTGGCTCCTGCGCTCCAGGATCTCCCTCAGCTGCAGCTTCTGCTCGTGGGAACCACAGGAAAGAGCACACACAGGGCTCAGTCTCAACCCAGAGGGCTTGCTCAGCTCAGAGAGACCCTGTGGGACTTGGGGCATGGCCCAGTTTGGTGCAAAAAGCTGGTTTGGGTAAGGTGGAAACGTCTGACTTGATCCATGGAACCAGGTTTGCACGTAGCTGAAAAACTGACATCACAAGACTCACCTCCTCAGGATCTTCTGGGGCAGCTCGGGGTGGTTCTCCATTCCTCCCCAACTCCAGCAGCTGGGACACAAATAAAGAGTCTGAGAAAGGCTGCTCAGGGATTCTAGCTAAAATCACTTCAGGGATTTGTGCTGTCTTAGAGATCAGTCACTTGGCACCTCTGGAGAAGGGAATCACACCTCCCATAGCCCCAGTGCAGGTCAGGCACTCAGCAGGACCCCTCTGCTCAGGGGTGTAACAAGAATGAAAGGATGAGTCCTCGCCCCAAAAAGGGCACATCTGCACTCCCAGAGAGCTGCTGAGCTCTGGGTCACTGAGCTCCAGGCTAACATGACCCACCCCAGTGTTGCCCGAGCCCCCCCCTGCAGTGGCACAGCCTGTCACCCCCCCTGAGCCAGTCCCTGCACTGTGGGGAGCACACAGGCATTCCCTGGCAGGGCAGATCCCCCTTCTCCCCTGTAACAGGCACATTTCTTCTTCCACTCATCCGCCCAGTTGCAGTGACAGATGGAAAATCCCCACCCAACATGGCATGTTATCACTCTGCTGAAAGGCAGGAGCTGCCTATTTTCACTCATTTCCCCTTTTATTCCTCTTCCTCCCTACAAAGCCTAACACTGCCTTGCAGTTTAAACACAGCTCAGTTAAACCCATTTTTCAAACAAGTGCTTGTCTTATCAGAGTAACTTCACCTCAGTAATTCACAGCTCGGAAAACTACTGACAAAGTCACATTTTCAGTTAAGAATATCCATTTATCGAGTCTGCTTGTGCCCAGGCCCTGCTGACAGCTGCCCAAGGGGCAGTGACACTGGCTGCTGCCACCCCAGCACAGCCAGGGAATTCCTGTGCCTCCCAAAAAACCGTGCCAAGTGTCCCACCTGCTCGAAGGAGGGGTAATACACGGGATGAGCTGCCACGCTGGGGAAGCAGATGACCAAGGCTGCTGCACTCTCAGTGTTGGGGTTGCATTGCACCGTGCCCATGGGGTTCAGAAGTTCCCCTTTCTCGTCTGAAAAGCAAAGCACACAAACCCCCCTGGAGCCAAAGGTGAAGCTCTGGTGCAGAAAGCAGAGCACTGCCTGGTCCTGAGCAGCTCCTTCATCCCCCTGACCTCTCCCAGGTGAGGTGCACCTGACACCTTTATGTGAGCAGCCACCTCTTATGTCACTCGTGCCATGCCAAGCACAAGGCCTTCACCTCTGGATGCCATCACAACACAGAGCAGTGACCAGGCAGGGTCTGCTGCCATGAACTGTACAGCGAGGCAGGACCTGGGGCACCCCTGTCCTTGTGGAGGAGACTGGAGATGCCAAACGAGACAGGAGCTCCATCTCCTGACATACCTGGGAAGGAGGACCACATGTGCAGGCAGCACTCCCCGGTTTTCAGCTGGTCCTTGTAGTCAAAGAGCATGACGTTGACCCAGGCGATGGGACAGTCCTGCAGGGCACAGAGAGCAGCTCATTTGGGGGCTGTAACAGCTGAAGGGAGTGAAGGAAAGAGGAGAACTAACAAGGGAGTGAGATACCCCCATGCAAAGGCCTCACAATATCCAGGAACCCAAAGTTATACAGTCTTTTCCAAGTCTGCAAATTGTTACTTCCCATTCAAGAGTGTGGGGGCACCCCCTCACCAAAGAGTTGCTGTAGAGAATTATACCAGGGAGCCATCCTGTCTGCCTAACTTTTAAGTTCTCTAGAAGTACAAGATGGCATCACATTCAGGCGTTTGCCAAAACCGGAGGTCTTTTGTGTAGTGCTGAATGGCACCAATCCCCCCCTCCCTAACATGGTTAAAACTTCATCACCTGATATTTTTCATAGGTGAAGAACCTCTAAGTTTCCAGTCAGGCCTTGCTACTCTACGCTCAGTGTTTGAAGGAGCTGTGATGTGCTTCCTACAGTGTGAGGGGAGTGTGTTTCAGCCTCAGTGTTGAAACAGGGAACACAGAGTTTACATGACTGCAGAAAACTGGGAGAAGAATGCTAGAAATAGCTGATAGTAGGGGGAAAAAAGGCTTGGCTCCTTTGAACAAGAATGAATACTATCTATAGAAATCAAACTTTATGCTGCCAATCCCCCACCACACCCCCAAAATAAAAGCCAGGAGCCCAAGCCAGGCTCGTTTTGGAGGGGGGAGACTCCAGCGAGTGATGGGACTGGGACACGGCCAAGACAAAGAACCCATCTCCCTGCTCAGCTCCCTCCCCCAGAGCAGCCCAGACACATACTCCACTAGTGAAATAAGCTTTCCTGCAGGCAGGTCCCCCAAATGGAACACTTTACCTCATAGAGCAGCCTCAGCCACAGCAGCGCTCGGAGCTCGGAACACACCGAGGCTCGAGCACAGAAACCAACGGGAAAAGGGGGTTATGTGGCAAAAAAACTCTGCTGAGATGCACCCACAAAAGGCCTCGTGTGAGAAGGGAACCACAGTGACACGTCTTGTTCCACTGGGGCCTTACCCTAAAGGCCACCACAGACTTGGTGGAGGTAACAGAGTCCCCACTTCCCTCTAATGTGACAAAATGAATCACTTCCCAGCGGCCTCTCACAGACCCTGGAGCTGATTTGATTACACTGAGTATCTCCAGCAAAATCCCATTTGAGACATCAGCTTCAAGATCAGAGGGAAAAGCCAAACACAACACCAGCAATAACCTTTTCTAACAGAGTAAATGACAGCAAACCACAGCTCAGAGCCTGCCAAGACACAAGGCAAGATTCCTGGCGGCTAAGGCCCAGCAAAACAAGGATTCAGCATTCTAGAGACAGACATCTCCTGCATGATTTAGAGAAACACTGAAAGCCAACCCTCTGGGTGACATTAACCCTGTGACTCATCCAGTCAGCCTGAAAACATGCCTGTTTTTGTGGTGGTAAATGACTTAGTCCCACCTATCTGCTCTGCTCAGTCTGCAGAGAAAACAACACGCTCGGCATTAACTCTGAGTAAGGAAAAGGATTAATAATCCAAAAACCAAAACAAAATGAAAATCAGGGTGCCCTCTAACTGTAACCTGCTCTTACCAATCATTTTAAATTATTTCTGGGCACCTCACTCACAGCTGCAGCTCAACATGTGGAAAAATCCTTTTATGCAGAGCTCAGCTCTTGTAAATGTGATTTTAAACTAAAATCTCACCAGAATGCATCCACCTCGTTAAGATCCTTTTAACAACTCAGCTAACCAGACTGGGTTTGTCTTGCCAATCAGAACAGCAAGATTTCCTTCTGACTGCTCCAAAACTGAATATTATTCCAGTGTGGCCACAAACATCCAGCCTGTGGATGAATCAGATCATCTGTCCAACAAAAGCCTCCAGCAGGAGCTGGGATCGTGCTATTCTAAAATAACAAAAAAACAACAATAAAAAGGTTGATCCTGGTCCTGGCCTCAAAATGTTTCCAGTCTGAAGTTTCCAGCCCAGAAATCAGTCCCCACCGGTAGGATTCATGAGCTGTCTGCTGCTCCCAGACATGACTGCACAGTAAAGCCTGAGAACCCCACTGATGTCAGCCCAGCAAAGCCCAGTGAACCTCCCAGCACTGAAAGGGAGGGAGCAGAACTGCAGCATCTTCTGTGATCACAGTCGTCAGGCCCTCATTTCTCTGCACTCTAGTAAGGATGGCAGGGCTAACCCTCCCTCTAAGGCATGGTGACAGTGTTTTCATGGCCACAGAAACAATAATTTGCAGAGGAAAAAATGCATTTGCTGCCCATAAAGGAAACCCTCACATGCAAAGAGCTCGAGGCAGTGAGCTTAAGTTACAACTCTGGGAAACCTGGAATTCAATTACAGGCTGCACTTGGATCTCATTATTGAACCATTAACGGGCTAGAAGTTTTGGAACAGAGGTAAGTGAGGAATATCCCTACGTCTCCAGTTAAGAAGCTCAAATCAAGAGCTTCCAAAGTGATTTAACACTTTCCATCCTCAGTCTGCTACAGCTGAACAACGGTAACCTTGAAGAACCTGCCCTTTTTACCTCACCTGGAGCTTTGCCATCACCAGTGTTTACATTCCTCAGTGTATCCCCTTTCCTAGCTGCTAATTTGCTCCGCAGGGGATTTGCAGGAAAGACCTTACTAGAAAGAAAATGCAACACAGATGATGGTTTAACCTCAACCATAAAACAAGGAAGTTGCAGAGCAGTGAAACAGAGACACCAACACCAGCGATTCCTCTTTGAGTGCAGTCAGATGCTGGGCATGTTTCTTAATGGCCTTTCTAGAGAAGAAATGACACTTAAACAGCCCTCCCAACAGGCAGCCACTCCCGTTCCTGTTGGAGGAGTTGGCCGTTACTCTGTAAGCTCTTTTATTAATAGAAAGTCTCCTGAAAGCAGAGGGCCCTTGGTTCAGAGTGGTGTCCTTGCCCTCCAGCCCTGGCAAGCCTGGCTCAGCCCCACACTGGCTCTACTTACAGCTTTCTTGGACTTCTTCTTGGTGGAACGGGCCTTCTTGGCCTTCTCGATGACGGCGTAGAGGGCAAAGCAGAGCCGGGCCATGCGGGGGAGGTCGCAGATGTTGATGTCGAAGTCCAGCCTCTGCTTCCACACAGGCTCTGAGCACACATTCACTTCTGAGCTGGACACTGTCTTGCACAGCATCTCATTGCCGTGGAACAGCCCTGCTTGCACCACCAGCTGAGGGAAGGAGGAATAAGAGAACGTGGTGAACCCACAGCCTTGTTTGCTGAGGACACACAAGGAATGGACCTGGGTACCCACTGCCCTGAACAGGATGTCCTGCTCCTGCCTCTGTCCCAAATCACTGAGACATTCAGTTCTTTAGCCTTTATCTTTACTCAGCTTCAGGAAGGGCGTTGTTATCTTCTTACTTTACTCAGGCTTGCATATTGGATAATGTGATATATTCCTGCCCTGTTTGCTTCCTTTCCCAAAAGGCAGCCATTCCCCTGCTCCCCCCCCATGGCAAACACCCTGCATACCCCAGGGCTCTGCTGCATCCTGCTTTCTGCCTTCACTTTGCCAGCCACCACCCCTCCCATCATTCCCTTCTCAGAGCTGCACTTCCCCTCCTCTGCTCTTTGCAGCTTCCCTGTCCCTCCACGCCACTGCCAAATGCCATCAGCACAGGGCAGCAGCTCTGCTTGCTTTGGCAGGGCAGTGTTTCTAAGGCTGGGCTTCTGCCTGGCCAGTTCCCTTCCCCTTGCTGTTGTGCTGCAGTTCAGAACCTGCCCAAAGGCTGGCTGAGGCACCACAGAGGATCAGGTGAGGTCACACGGTCAGCCACTGCTGCCCTCACCACACAGACAAGACAGAGGTGGCTGGAAAAGCCCGAGCACAAAACCCCAGAGTGAGTCAGTACCCACCTTCATTCTCTCATCTGCATTGACCTTGCTGCCTTGCACCAGCTCGATGTAGAAAGGCTGCTCTAAGGACCAGAGAGAACCATAGTTTGGCTGGAAAGAGAAAAGAATTCTGATCAGAAATAAATGGAACAAAGAACCTCTCAATCCAGCACCAGAACTCAGCTCCCATCGCGTGATTTTCGCTCCCACAGGAAAGGGCACAAAGCCTGGGACAACCAGGCGAGCTGAGGGGACCCCACGGGCCACTGTCCCCTTTTACCTTCTTCTTGGGGAGCGGGGGGGGCTTGGGAGCCATCTTTGGGGGGCTGGCAATGCAGTTGGTCTGCTCGTCCCTCATGGCAATGATGGCAGAGCAGTGGACCATGGTCAGGTGGGGGGTCAGCCCTCGGTGCAGGCAGCTGCGGATGTACTGCAGAGACACAGGCAGGTGGGTCAGAGCCATCACACGAATCACAGCTGGCTGAAGGAGCCAGGGGAGGACACAGCAACAATCAAATTTCAGTCCTAATTTATCTCCTCCTGCTTTGCAAGCCTGAGACTCACTGGGCTCGTGTTGCCAGAACTGAGAATATGAAGTGCCTTTCACAGCTGGCATTTCATCAGTGCACTCAAATGGCTGCATTAAAGGGAGAACACTGAGAAGGGTTCAGCACTCCCAGGAGGAGTTTGCCCTGCCAGGACAACACAGGATTGCTTGCAAATACTTCCAGAGCCATGGTCTATAAATGTATTTACACGGTACTTGGCACCCAGAGACAGGCTAAGATCACTGGCCCCCAAAAACACAGGGATCTGTTAAGTTGCTAGAAGTACCCCTTGCCCTAAACACCACCCAGCTCCTGTCACTGATGTGCTGCACTCCTGTAAACAGCATTATCTCCTTGCTAACATGTCTCAATCCATACCCCCAGCAAGAGCAGGACACTGGGGAACAGACTCTTTGATAAAGCAAGACAAGAGGCTCACCTGGAACTGGTACAGGGGGTAGTTCCCATAGAGATATTCCCACTTCCCGTTCACCTGCAGGGTGTAATCCTCTGGCTTCTGCAGCGTCTCGTGGCGGAACACAGTGGCCTGCTTCTTGATGGCATAGCTCATCAGCGTGACCGGGAACTCCTTCGGGGAGATCTGGAAAGTGAAGCTCTCCTGCAATCCCAACAACACAGCACAGGCCGTCAGGCACCAGCAAAGGGCTGGAAGGGCACACACACACATCCACCAGCAAGGCACGGGGTGGAAGGGTCACCACGCTCAAACACACTGCTCTGGAAGGCCCTTCTCCCCTGGGGGTGGTGGCTCCTGCTCCATGTCCAGGCAAAACATGCAAAAATAACATTAACCAGGAGCAGCAGGTGATAAACAGGGGCTCACAGGCAACACAGCCTGGTGTCTGCAAGCAGAGTGTGGGGAGCATGAGCTGAGCAGACCCGTGAGCTTCCAAAGGAAAGGCGTGTGAATCGTTTTGTGCTCCTCTCCTACCCACAGCCAAAAGGTTTCCACCCCGTTACACATGCAGCAACCTCAGCTACCAGATATAGCCAGTAAACCCAGGGCATGTTCAGGAAGGGGAACAGCTCCCTTGGTTGGAGGCTCAGAGTCTCCCTCCCAACCATCTCCACAGGCAGAGGAATCTGGAGAATGAAGATGAACACATGGAAACATTGTCCACACACACATTATTCTGTCTCCAAACACACAGAGGGTCCCCAAGGGGGAAGCACAGACCACCAAACACCGGCACAGAGCAGGTTGTGCTTTACCCCTCCAGACTGGAACTTGACGTTGACGAAAATGTTCTTGGTGGGGGTTTGTAGAGAGCCAGTCCCAAAGCCCTTGGCCATGGGCTCCAGCTGCAAGGGGAAGTTGTACTCCATCCAGGCTGCCCAGCTGAGCTGCTGCCTCTTTGCTGCTCTCTCCTCACAGAACTGGCACATTTTGGTGCGGAAATCGTTCACCTCTGGATCCTGAACGGAGTCGAACTCGTGCAAACCTGAGTGGAGAGCAAGGGAGAAAGGCAAAATGAGCATCTGCAGCCAAGGGGGAAACGAGCCTTCTACTCAAGTGTCTGCGAAAGAGTCTTCCTGAACACATGCTTAATATGTGGCCAAGAGGAGAAGAGTCAGCCAAGCTAGCAGCACTCATTTATTTGTGATTTACTATTGACTCAACTATCCCAGCCCTCTGCCAGCAGGAGGGATCCCCCAGCTTGGGCCTGCACACCCACTGTTCCCTCACCGGACCCACAGGAGATCAAACCTGCTGATTCCACCTCCTGCACGAGCAGGGCTCCAGCACTGCCCCAGGGAGTCTGGGGCAGGAGCAGCCCCACCTACAGCCCGAGTGACGATGGGGGAACCGACCTTTCCCAATGAGCAGGCTGATCTGGGAGTTGATGACCTTCTTGACCCTGTCCCCTTCGCGAGCCACGAGGCGCAGCACGGGCAGGAAGGGCTGGATGTCGCAGAGACGCCGCTGCTCATCCTCCAGCTCCTGCTGCTCCGCCGTCTGGTTGATGCAGGTGAACACATAGGCCTCGGGGTCGCTGAGCATGTGGTACAGGGGCTCATACTGGGCGTGCTTCCACACCACCTGGGCAGGACAACGGCACAGTGAGCCCTCCCTGCGCTGCCACAGCCACAACTTCCCCTCCACGGGTCTTTTCCAATGCCCTCACTCTCCCAGGATACACCCCTTAGGAAAGGCAGTGCCCAGCCCAGCCTCCTCCCAGCACTCCTGCACCTGCAGCCCAGGCTGCTTCTCACTCACTGCTGACTCCAGCTCGTGCTGAGCTGCTGGGTGGGTTTATTTGCAAGTGCCTTTAGTTGATTTCCTTTTCTCGTGCTTGCCATTTGTATCAGGCCACATAAATCCCTCAGTCTGAGCATTTAAATAACCCCCACCTGATCCCCACAGATCTCTGGCCCTGTGAAACAGAGGAATTACTCACACTGGAAGCAAAACTGGGTTAAGTAACTTGCCCCCAGTAACATGAAATCTGTGACAAGAGCCAAGAGCTTTTCTCACGTCCTGTCAACACTACCCAGTTCCCAAAGATCCTCCTCTCCCAGGGGACAGTACTCCCACCTGACTGTTCATATCCCATGTTTTACTCTCATGCCAAGTGCCTGCTATAGATAAACCTCTGGAGCAGATGGGCCCCTGGCTGTGACACAGGCCTGTCCCCGAGCAGCTGCAACAAGGCTGTTACCTGCTTGATGGTGCCCAAGCTGGCATTGCAGGGCACACAGAGGTTTAAGTATATTCCTGTGGGCAGCAGAAAGTCCACCTGGATGTTCTGGTTTTCCCCCTTGGACCAAAATTCCGTAGGGCAGTAAATGCCTGGGGGCATCCTGCTCACTGCTTAGCTACCACCTGGAAGAAGAGGGAAAATAGCCTGTTGCTGTTGACCACATATCAACTGCTCAGTTCTGTGCTGGGCTCTGTTGAAAGTTAAAGTGAAAAATAACCCAAAGAAAGGAAGGTCAGCACAGCCTTACGGCCCAGAAAAACATGGACTTTAGTCAACTTCCCAATCCGGTGTCTTTAAGGCACATATAACTACTGCATTTGCCTCCATCTCAATGCAACCCTCCCTTAATCCCTTCTAGACTGGGATTAACATCCACATCTGCATTTGAGAATGAAACAAAAGCATTATCTTCGCTTGGGAACAAAGGCACTTGTCCCAATAGCTCATCTAGGACCAAGCAGCCAAGAGAAACAGTAAGTCCCTACCCCTGGCTGTGTAAGGCAATCCTCAGGCCACATGCTCCAAGCTCCACTTTGTTTTTCCAGAGCTCAGTTCCAGCCTGCAAGAGGGAGAAAGAGAGTTGTTGCTGGCTCCAAGTATGCATGTGCATTTTTATACACACAAACCAATGTTACTCTGCTGGATGTCCCCCCTCTGCAAGCACAGAAAAATGAAGTTTAGGGCTGAGGCAACCAAAATAAGTTGGTTAATTCTATCTGCAGCCTTTCCCTTGGCAGGGTTCTACAATTCATTCTCAGTACACCCAAGGAATGCAAAGAGGAGAACAAGAGTCTGAAGGCTCTCAGGTACAAGCTGCTGTTTTCCAACACAGGATGAAATAAAAGGCACCAGAAGCCAGCTGGACATTTCCCCTCTCAAAGACAGGTAAGACCAGAGTCGGAGACACCCTCACGCTCCATCCCATTTGCCCACAAGAAAATACTCCAGCAATAAAACTCCAGTTTCCTGCACAGATGACGAGCAGCAGAACGTGGGTCCCCACGTGCTAGGGGAGAGTGGGACTCGTGGCACTGGCTCCCAGCAAGAGGCAGGGAAGTGGCTCTAACTAATTCTCTCCAAACACCTCAGCAGAGAAACCAGCTCACCTCAATTCCCTCTCACTTACCAGTGTTTTTCCAGTAGGTCAGCAGAGGAACATCCCAGCGGCACAACCTGGAAGGTGCTCCATAGCCAAGGCTTCAGCCTCCTGCCCTGGCCACTCCTGTGTCCCTCATCCTCAGCCCACAAAACCAGCACAAAACTTGCTCATTCCCAATTTAAAACACGGCTTTGCCGCTCTCGGTGTGGAAACTCTGGAAGAGGCTGAGCAATGTGCTGCTGGAGATTTGGGTCCCCCAAACTGGGAGGCAGCTCCTCCTGAGCCAGCCCTGGGCCTCAGCACAACAAGGAGCCCAGCATCTTATCTGCCAGGTCCTGGGAGAGCACACCACTTCCCTGTCAGCACTGAGGTCAGGATTCCCAGAAACATGAGCTGTGTTTTATCTGTCCTGCTTCCTCAGTGCTCAGGCTGTGTCACACAGCCACCGGATAGGGAGACCGCAAAAACCACCCCCAGTGTGCCTGGAGAGGGAGGGGACACAGAGGGGGAGGAGGCAAAGTTTAAAGTTTGAATAAAGCAAAACAAGCTGGCCTTGTTTTCTGCTCATTAACAATAAAATCAGCAGGTTTCTGGTGTGTCTGCTGCCTCAGCCTAAATCAGCAAACCACCACAGCTCGACTGACCAGCAGAGGCAGAAGACACAGCAG